ATGGTACAGTAAAGCCCAAATGGTCTACAGACACACACCATTACATGGTACAGTAAAGCCCAAATGGTCTACAGACACACATCAATACATGGTACAGTAAAGCCCAAATGGTCTACAGACACACACCATTACATGGTACAGTAAAGCCCAAATGGTCTACAGACACACATCAATACATGGTACAGTAAAGCCCAAATTGTCTACAGGCACACATCAATACATGGTACAGTAAAGCCCAAATGGTCTACATACAGTAGATACACACTGGAATTCTGCTAACTGGCCATCATACTACCCCTTCATCCAAGCAAGCTGACCATGGTTTTACACAACCATCCCAACTATCATATAACACAACTATCCCATCTAGCTGACCATCATATTACTCAACCATCCCAGCTAGCACATCATATTGCACAACCATCCCCTCTAGCACATCATATTACTCAACCATCCCAGCTAGCACATCTTATTACACAACCATCCCAGCTAGCAAATCGTATTACACAACCATCCCAGCTAGCACATCATATTGCACAACCATCCCATCTAGCACATCATATTACTCAACCATCCCAGCTAGCACATCATATTACACAACCATCCCAGCTAGCAAATCATATTACACAACCATCCCAGCTAGCAAATCATATTACACAACCATCCCAGCTAGCACATTACACAACCATCCCAGCTAGCAAATCATATTACACAACCATCCCAGCTAGAACATCATATTACTCAACCATCCCAGCTAGCACATTACACAACCATCCCAGCTAGCACATTACACAACCATCCCAGCTAGCACATTACACAACCATCCCAGCTAGCACATTACACAACCATCCCAGCTAGCACATTACACAACCATCCCAGCTAGCACATCGTATTACACAACCATCCCAGCTAGCACATCGTATTACACAACCATCCCAGCTAGCAAATCATATTACACAACCATCCCAGCTAGAACATCATATTACACAACCATCCCAGCTAGCACATGATATTACACAACCATCTGCTAGCAAACCCACATACTACCATGAATTCAGCTAGCTGACAACTACACAGCACAGACACACGACTAAGCAATATCTTACAGCCTGACTTCTGTGATTGGCCAACAGATAGATCTATCACCCCCAGAGTAAACAGCAGACGACATTTGGCACACAGCTGAGGTATGTCAGGACGACCAAAAGTAAACAAGTCTCCAGCAGACGACACGTATGCCGGGTGTAATCAACCGGGACGGGTGCATCAGGTGGGAGGACATGGCATTAAATTACGTCAGACAGGTCGCAGGGTGTGGTGTGGGCTCAACAAAAACCAACTGATACATGGGCCATTCATGAATGACACAACGTAATATCAAATTTCACCCCACCTCCGCTTTTTAACGGCTATAATTCTAACGAAAATGTACGTTATATATAAACGCCTGTGTTTTTTATATAAAGTTTGCTGAACTGTTACGTCATAATTCGTAATCTACCCCATAGCGAAGTGTTTATAAATATTCAGCCCTCCATTCAGAGATAAGGCTACAATAATGGAAGCTCATTCAATACATGACTGTGTAAATGGAGATAGCAGAATTAACTACAGTGTCTTTCCTTCAATTTTGACAACATTTTAACTAATAAAGCAGACAGTGAGTAGAAAGACACATTAGACGGGGCACACACACACACGCAGGGGGAGAGGTCTACAAAAAAAGAAAAGACTTACTGTCTAAGTGATGCCAAGACTTCCTGTATAAATACATGACTCGGCTAGTTAACAGTGTATCAACACTAGGCTAGGCCTATGGTTGGCCTGTGTACTACATCAACTGAATCACAACAGAATCAAACAGGTCACAAGAAAAGCCACAAGTCAAGCCAGTCCATCAAATGGATTGTTAGGAATGTAACCACCGTCGCTTGTGTTTTCATTGGCTCAATCGGTTTCTTCTTGGGGGTCAAGGTTCAAAGGGGAGGGGAGGCCATCGGTATCAAACAAGGGCAGAGGCGTGACCAAAAAACTATGTCAAGATGGAATTCTGAGATTGAAACAAGTCGAAACGAAGGGAATTGTTTCTCAAATGCTTACACTTTTTAACGACAATAAGGCAATGATGATTTGTAAAAAAAAAAATGGTTTCTAGAAACATACATTTTAATAGTTTAGCTATTAAAACCAATAATTTGTTGTGATTTATTTTTAAATTTTGAGTTTTAAAATATCCACGAAATGAAGGGTAACTTACTTATACTCCCAAGAGAATAGCACAGAGAAAACGGAATAAAAAGCTCCGAGCGCATGTGAAGCAATGCGAGTGGTGTGATGTGTAGAACAATGCCACGCGCGGCCCGCCAGCCCACTGGCTCAGACGGGACAGGCGCCAGACATCGGGTGGTCACCTCAGCTCGCTCAGGGACAACTTGGGCGGGTGGAGGTGGGCGCAGCAAGTTACATCACATCTTCACTGACGAGAGATGGGCAGTGGTTCAATATGCTCTAAACTAGGGCCATGCCAGTTGTACCTGGTACTGACTCAGATTGCCTGGCCAACCTCGGCTACAGCTAAAAATGTTTTGCGTGCCAGCTAATTCCAAGACCGGCGAGCCGGCACACACCGGCTACCTTCGGGCCGACCCACGGGACTGACCCACGGGGACGGTGTCTGTTTGGTGTGAGGACAGAGGTCATGTTGAACGTGACCGTGAGAAAGGGGGCGCATAGCGGGTCTGGAATGTGACCTCAGTCTTATCTGATTCAACTGGCAGAGGAAACCAATAGCTTGACCTGCATGAATGGCGCGTGGAATTATTGACCCGATTAACTGATAGCACCACACATAAACGTTCTGAACTAATCAAGCTAAGGACAAGTGTAATTATAGGCGTAATGTTATTGGAGCTGGTGGCAAAACTACGCTGGTTTAGGGATCCTTGTTGTATTGATCATGAAGAAAGCTGATTGGACGCTCCGGTCGTAGAGAGAAGTAAAACATCAAGTTGATTGAGAGAAATGAAACATGAAGTTGATTAAGAGAAAATGAAACATCAAGTTGATTGAGAGAAATGAAACATCAAGTTGATTGAGAGAAGTAAAACATCAAGTTGATAAAGACAAAACAGAAAGCAAGTTATTTTAAAGAAATACATCTAAACTGAGTACATGAAAAAATATTTTTAAAACTTTACTTTCGAGTGTCGCTACCAGATTATCTTGTCCGCGCTAATCAAGGCTTCTGGCTTTTATCAGTTTTTGTACCTACTTTATCAGCCACTGAAGTTTTCTAACGACACAATACAAGCAGCGGATATCTCAACAATGTATTGACCTAAAAATATAACCTAATTATGTTTGCCGCATTCATATTGATTATTCCATGCAAGTTAAAAATAAATTGGTCCAACATTTGACGGCTCAAAACTTGTGCTAGCAATTGTTTGCCAGGGGCGACAATGCGTGTATCAGTTTACCTGCAGACTAGCGCCGCTTATGAACGGAGCTTAACGTTGTGTTATTACAAACCTATAGTTCTCATGTGGTTTACATGTGTCCACATGCCACACCACATCTGATTACACTAGATACATTTGACGTATGGGCTGAGTCAATTACACGGATTTACTCTTGTTTGTACAAGGTATGTTGATTCGGGGGATGGACCCGTGTATGAGAGTAAAAAGTTCGACTGTCATAGAAAGTCGTGAGCTAAATGGTAACATCCTAGCAATGACTGTTTCTTCCAGACTTTTTTCTCCGGGGGGGGGGGGGGGGGCACTTGAGATTTTCGGGGGGGGCGGTCAACATTTTTCGGGGGGGGGGGGGCGGACACTAGTAAAAGTGTATGTTTACTATATAAATTCCATCTTGTTCGGGGGGGGGGGTAGACTTTCTTCGGGGAGGGGGGCGACGACTCCACCCCTCCGAAGAGATGACTGGAAGAAACTCTGCTAGCAATGAGATAACAGAGCGGGGTAGTGGAGGATGAGATTTGGAAAACTGACGATCAGACAATTACAGACAAGTAAAGCAAAAGAATTAGTAACAGAATTAAGTAAAGAAAAGACTGTCTTACGGTCTAAAGTAAAACCAAAAGCCTGACTTACAACCTAAAGTAAACAAAAGCCTGACTTACAGCCTAAAGTAAACAAAAGCCTGACTTACAGCCTAAAGTAAACAAAAGCCTGACTTACAATCAAAGGAAACAAAAGCCTGACTTATAATCTTAAGAAAACCAAAAGACTGACTTACAATCAAAAGTAAACAAAAGCCTGACTTACAGCCTAAAGTAAACAAAAGCCAGACTTACAACCTTAAGAAAACCAAAAGCCAGACTTACAGCCTAAAGTAAAACCAAAAGCCTGACTTACAACCTTAAGAAAACCAAAAGCCAGACTTACAGCCTAAAGTAAAACCAAAAGCCTGACTTATAATCTACAGTAAAACCAAAAGCCTGACTTACAACCTAAAGTAAAACCGAAAGCCTGACTTACAACCTAAAGTAAAACAAAAGCCTGACTTACAGCCTAAAGTAAACAAAAGCCTGACTTACAATCTAAAGTAAACAAAAGCCTGACTTACAATCTAAAGTAAACAAAAGCCTGACTTACAATCTAAAGTAAACAAAAGCCTGACTTACAGCCTAAAGTAAACAAAAGCCTGACTTACAGCCTAAAGTAAACAAAACCCTGACTTACAATCTAAAGTAAAACCAAAAGCCTGACTTATAATCTTAAGAGAACCAAAAGCCAGACTTACAGCCTAAAGTAAAACCAAAAGCCTGACTTATAATCTACAGTAAACAAAAGCCTGACTTACAATCTAAAGTAAACAAAAGCCTGACTTACAATCTAAAGTAAACAAAAGACTGACTTACAGCCTAAAGTAAACAAAAGCCTGACTTACAATCTAAAGTAAACAAAAGCCTGACTTATAATCTTAAGAAAACCAAAAGACTGACTTATAATCTTAAGAAAACCAAAAGCCTGACTTACGGTCGTATCTTGAGTTGCACAAGCTGGGCAGGCTGTGTGAGCTGGGGCTCCTGCTTATGTCAGAGCCCAGGGAGCCCGGCAGGGAGGTGGTGCTCCTACACAGCTCCTCTGCTATCTCGGACATGCTGCGAGCTGCCGGCAGTTGGCCCTGTGGAGAGATGACGGTTTCATTAACCGGCTCAGATTCTATTCGTTTCATCAGCATACAGAATTGGACACACGAGAGAAACATGGGATGCTTTTGAACATGATGAACAATAATATCTTGTTTCACTTTGCGCATGCAATCAACACATTAGGGGTAGGGGATGAGATACTTGCACTATTTATAAACGTCTTGTCTTAGCCAAATCTAAGTTTTTTTTTTACCAGATTAGCTTATAAGCATAAAATAGAAGCATATAATGAATATAAACTAGAGGGTAGCATACTCGATTTTATATAAGGAGATTCTTTTACTATAGAAAGTGGGTAACTGTCTATAGTGAAGCGCCATTATTTTAAAGCTTTTCAAGTTATTTACACATCAGTTTGTCGTCTTGCAGTTTAAACGACAATCCCATGTCAAAGCTTTTTTATACTCTTATAAACAATTATGTATTGCAGTAATCATTCTCCACCAACACACACACACAAACACACGCGATAGACTTGGACTGACCTTGCTCTGCTTCCTGTCCAGGTAAAACTGATGCTGGGCCACGGCCATTGACCAGATACATTTTGTCAGCTGGGGGGTGCTGGCGAACCAGGCGTGGACGTCAACGTTGCTGGCACCAAACGTGCGCCGACTCACAGACACCCTGCCACAGACACGAGCAGTTCATTAGGGCAGTGATAGGGCAGATTATTGGGCCGGTATAGGGCAGTGATAGGGCAGACTAGTGGGCCGGTAAAGGGCAGACTAATGGACCGGGGGTAAAGGGCAGACTAATAGTCCGGTAAAGGGTAGACTACTGGGCGGTAAAGGGCAGACTACTGGACCGGTCAAGGGCAGACTGTTGGGGGGTAAAGGACAGACTGTTGGGGGGTAAAGGGCAGACTATTGGGCCGGTAAAGGGCAGACTATTGGGCCGGTAAAGGGCAGATTATTGGGCCGGTATAGGGCAGATTATTGGACCGGTAAAGGGCAGACTAATAGTCCGGTAAAGGGCAGACTACTGGGCAGTGATAGGGAAGACTATTGGGGGGTAAAGGGCAGACTATTGGGGGGTAAAGGGCAGACTATTGGACCGGTAAAGGGCAGCCTAATGGGCCGGTAAAGGGCAGACTATTGGGCCGGTAAAGGGCAGACTATTGGGCCGGTAAAGGGCAGTCCATAGGGTCGGTAAAGGGCAGACTATTGGACCGGTAAAGGGCAGACTATTGGACCGGTAAAGGGCAGACTATTGGGCCGGTAAAGGGCAGACTATTGGGCCGGTAAAGGACAGACTATTGGGCCGGTAAAGGGCAGACTATTGGGTCGGTAAAGGGCAGACTATAGGGCCGGTAAAGGGCTAATAGACCGGTAAAGGGCAGATTATTGGACCGGCAAAGGGCAGCCAATTGGACCGGTAATAAGGGCAGACCTCGCACCTCAATGCGGGATCGAAACATGAGTGTCCAGTTGAAATATTGAACAGATCAATACAACGATACGTCTTAAGGAAATGAAAGCGGAAATAATTTCATCTCGTATATTGTGTGAGGCTCATTCAGTAAGTAAAAGATGATGCTCCATCATCATCGCCTCTGGATGTTAAAATAGCATCGTTGCTGGAAAATGTTAAAAAATATCGTTGCTGGCGAAAAATGTTAAAATAGCATAATTGCTGGCGTAATAACTTAAAACACAGCTGTTAGAAGAAGCTGATAATATCATATATGTCATGTTTTAACATCAATTTGAAACATCACTTAGATACGTGCAAAAGTTTGTTTATATAAAAACACATTCTGGCAGAAGAACGTGTTACATCATTGAAATGCAAATAAGCCAAGATAAAGTTTAGCCAATCTTGAAATACTTAACTAGTAAGTGATCAAGTTAATTAAATACACACATAAACTGACGTGTATATAACACACATGTAGCTGACGTGAAATATAACTGACTTATCTGGAAGCGATGCAGCTTCATCTGGTAACTGTTTTAAATAATTGAATCTGATTCTTGGTTTTTCTTTCCAAAACTTTGACGTTTAATAGATTGTATTTTTTTTTTAAGATTAAAGGTTTTTGCCACAACCTTTTAAAAAAAACTGCAAGGGGTAAATAATTTTATGAAGATTTTTCTAGTATTTAAATAAAGTAATTATTGTCAGTTATCTGCTAATGTATAAAATATTTTTATTTAATTAATGAAAGTGGCTAATGACCAGTGATCACTGTATTGGTGATGTTCCACGTGTGTGTAACTGGATCAGTTGATGACACAACATGGTGGGTCATACAATCAAACAAAACATGCACGTAAATAAGACGATGCAGGTGAGTACAGAGGTCAAAGGTTAATGAATGGCTGCATGCTGAAATCATGAGTTGGTGAGTAATGATGAAACGGTCAGTGAAACATGCGTGGTCAGTTAGGGGCATGCCGAGTTCCGTCATCGTGAGAGAAAAAAATGCAGTGGCCGTTACCTCAAGCAGAACTAGTCGAGGGAAGTCAGAGTATGGGATCAAACGAGAGAATACGAGATCTTCTCGCCTGATTAGAGCAACTCAATGTTCGCGGCCCTCCGTCAACACGCTGTGTGGCGTGCATAGCCCGATAAACAGAGTCAAGGGGTAAAGCTAAAGCCATTTAACTTCACATATCTTTACAGAAAGGTCTCACCCATTTAAAAAAAAATCAATAAACTATCTGATATAGTAACTAACTAAAGATATATTAGGTAGCAAGTGTAAGATAATGAGAGCAAGTTGCGTGTGGTGACCGGCTGGCGACTGGTCTAGTAGTGTGTGCGGGCCGCCTCTACAAGCAGATGAAAAGAGTTACTCACTGGGTGCTCGGGTCCGATATGGCTGTAGACAGGTCGTCCCTCCACTCCACCGGCTCCCTGACCGCGTCCTCGTACGGGTTGAAGCTGCTTAATGTGTGAATGATGCTGGAATGGGGGATGGTTGGCAGTTTAAGCAGATGGGTTGGTATGGAAGTCAGAAGCTGGAGGGGTGGGGGTTGGTCGCTAAACTGACGATTTGCATAGAGAAGAGGGGGGGAGGAGGGGTGTAAACCGGAATGGAGAGGGTGGGGGATGACATGAAAGAGTGAGCAAGAAACGGGGAGAAAGAACGCACGCTGACTGAACCAGACGGAGAAGCTAAAATACAAAATTGACAATTAGTCAACTAGGAGATCTACCCAGTCCGTCATCTATTGATTCCGTTTGTCATTGATGGGGGACGCTACGGCTGTTTACTACTGGACACCAACAGGACTTTCCTGTACTGGTCGGATCTGGACCTTAAACACAACTAGTGCATGTATGCAACAGCTATCGTGTGGATATGAATGAACTCTATACAGCATGTATGTGTGGACAGACATCACCAGGGCCAGAGACGTGGGGTCTGTGTGGGACCACAAGATACTGGCAGGGTTGGGGCTGTGCCGGCATTGGCAGGGTTGGGGCTGTGCCGGCACTGGCAGGGTTGGGGCTGTGCCGGCACTGGCAGGGTTGGAGCTGTGCCGGCACTGGCAGGGTTGGAGCTGTGCCGGCACTAACTGGCAAGACGTTAGATGGGTCTGACACATACCAGATATTCAATAAAGCATCAGATACGTAGGTCTATAATTGTCACAGGAAGGATATAGGAGGAAAAAATGATTACGCCAAACAAAATGGGTGCAAGAAAACAGCGTGGACACGATCAATCGAGTGGTCCATTTTGTGATTGTGTTATTTTTATGCAGATGTTTGGGTGGGGTGGGGGGGGGGGGGGGAAGTTGCAAATACAACTTTTTTTATAGAGCTACTTTGTTATTATGCATTTATGCTACTGCTTAAATTAATACAAATTACATGACTATAGGGAGTTGGTTAACAGTGTGAAAATAATGTTGCTCAATATTTGCCGCCACTAACATGGAGGTTATTTTACTCAACATTTGCCGCCACTACCATGGAGATTATTTTACTCAACATTTGCCGCCACTAACATGGAGGTTATTTTACTCAATATTTTCAGCCACTAAAATGGAGGTTATTTTACTCAACATTTGCCGCCACTGCCATGGAGGTTATTTTACTCAACATTTGCCGCCACTAACATGGAGGTTATTTTACTCAACATTTGCCGCCACTACCATTGAGGTTAGTTTACTCAACATTTTCCGCCACTAACATGGAGGTTATTTTACTCAACATTTTCCGCCACTAACATGGAGGATATTTTACTAAACATTTGCCGCCACTAACATGGAGGATATTTTACTCAACACTTGCCGCCACTAACATGAAGGTTATTTTACTCAACATTTGCCGCCACTACCATGAAGGTTATTTTACTCAACATTTGCCGCCACTACCATGAAGGTTATTTTACTCAACATTTGCCGCCACTAACATAAAGGTTATTTTACTAAACATTTGCCGCCACTACCATGAAGGTTATTTTACTCAACATTTGCCGCCACTACCATGAAGGTTATTTTACTCAACATTTGCCGCCACTACCATGGAGGTTATTTTACTCAACATTTGCCGCCACTACCATGGAGGTTATTTTACTCAAAATTTGCCGCCTGCACGTGTGGCGAGCACATGATGTGGACCTTGTTACGGCCCGCTGGTAGGGGGTCGGGTCTTGGATTTATAAGAGAAAAGATTAGGGGCAAAGGTCATAATGTATTGATCCAAAACGGCAGATCTGAGGATTGTATTTAGCATACGACGGTTATGTGAGAGGGACAGGGAGTCGGCAGGAAAAGGAAAAAGGAGGGGGGGGGGACAGAGAGTCGGTATAAAAGGGGAACAGAGAGGTATGTAGGTAAATAAACAAGTACACAGGGCGAGAAACGAAGTAAAAAAGATAAACCGTCAACAATTAGCTGTAGGACAGATATGTGAGCAATTAGAAGCGAAGGTTGGCGGCCAGTGATGTCACGGTGAGTTGCTGGGAGGATGGCGTGTGTGTCATGGTAGGATAGTGTGTGTGATGGTGTGTGTGATGGTGTGTGTGATGGAAGGATGGTGTGTGTGATGGTGTGTGTGTGATGGAAGGATGGTGTGTGTGTGATGAGAGGATGGCACCAGTCTGTGTGTGATGGGAGGATGGCGTGGGTGATGGGAGGATGGTGTGTGTGTGCGTGTGATGGGAGGATGGTGTGTGTGTGCGTGTGATGGGAGGATGGTGTGTGTGTGTGTGTGCGTGTGTGTGATGATGTGTGTGTGTGTGCGTGTGATGGAAGGATGGTGGTGTGATGGTGTGTGTGGATGTGATTGAAGAAAGGCACGAATAAAACATGGGATAGATGTAATTTTTTAAAAAAAAATGACATCTGCAGTACATGAAAAAGTGAAACCGTAGTTTTGCATAACATGCAGCGCCGAACCGTCACCACCCCCACACCTGTGGTAAAAGCCCCGCCCATCTCCAGTGTACCCGTCAGGTTAGTCACGTGTCCAGGAGGCGTCCAGATGAGAGACAACAACCATGCTCCAGGTCATTCCAGGAGTACAACAAGCAACATCACCACAACAACAACAACATAACAAGGCTGCTCATTCTGTTTCCATTGATCCCTCGAGATACCAACAGAACAGATGATAAACCTATGTCCAGCGTGGACCCAGTGTAGGTGTCTTGATGTTAGTCCATAACACAGCAAGCTCTGGTAGTTGAGGGATTAGGTGACAACACAGAAAGCCGACCACAACAAACATGACCGTGTTAACAGAACCAAAACAAAATATTATAAAACAAATGAAACACATGAATAAATAAAGCCACCAGATATTATTCCGTAAAAATATTAGCAAATTAAAAAAAAATGAGTGAGTTTTTATGTCATTCCAAAGTAGAAGAAATACCTACTGGCTACCCGAATCTTCCCTGAAAAATGGTGGGATATTTTTTTTATAAACTTATCTCGAATTTTATAAATTGTGTTTGAAAAGACAATAATGAATTCTTGCTTTAAAAAAAAAAAAAACAAGTTGTGTTACAATTTAACCCTAAACACTCATACACACACACATACAAACATACAAACAAACACTTCTCAAACATGGAGATTTGTTACAGCTGCTAACACAAATACATGCTGAGCCCACTCTACCAGTACCTTACTACCCTACAACACTAGCCCAGCACTTTTACATCAGATCAAATAAACACTTTCTATTCATAATAACACATATGTCTCTTTATTTAACTAAACAAATAATCAGTTTTACTTAAGGGTACTGTATTCAATTAAGTTGACTTTTAGAATGACATGTATCTTTTTATATTTAACATTTTAAAAGACAATACAAATTTATTTTAACTTATTTTTTTTTATATATTGAAATGAATAATTTCATTGCTGACACAGTTAGCTCTAGTTTTAATTACAATGCTTTGTTCAGATAAACAATTCACCAAGTGAAACAATAAGGTGTTTACTGTGTTAGACCAGACTAGAACACATACACTGAATCAATAGTTTTCACAGACATACAGCACTCACCGCTTGGGCCCGTGAACTTCAATGGAGAATTTCTTGTCCCTGTAGTACAAATTCTCTAAAGTTTTCCAGGTAAATAACTGAAATAATAGCAGGTGTTTCTTTAGAGGGTGACATCACACTTTGAGGCAGTTATGGGTTACATGGCATGTGCTAAAACTATCACTTGTTACAAGGCCTGTGCTAAAACTGTTACTTGTAACATGGCCAGTGCTAAAACTACCACTTGTTACAAGGCCTGTGCTAAAACTATCACTTGTTACATGGCCAGTGCTAAAACTATCACTTGTTACAAGGCCTGTGCTAAAACTATCACTTGTTACAAGGCCTGTGCTAAAACTATCACTTGTTACATGGCATGTGCTAAAATTATCACTTCTACCGCAGCAGCAGTGTGACAACAAAGACTTACCTTTCTGGGTGTTGTCTTGTCATTTTTATCATAGACAGCTATACCTTTAGGGCTGATGCCCAGCCACCATGGAATGTCTTTTTTATCCTAAAGGGAAACAAAGAACTGTGGTGAGGTATAATCAGGTGGGTAGCAGCAGCTTTAAGCAGCTTGGTGAAATCATGTGATTCCCATAGCAGCAACTGAAATCATGTGATTTTCATACCAGCAGCTGAAATCATGTGATTCCCATACCAGCAGCTGAAATCATGTGATTCCCATACCAGCAGCTGAAATCATGTGATTCCCATACTATCAGCTGCAATCATGTGATTCCCATACCAGCAGCTGAAATCATGTGATTCCCATACCAGCAGCTGAAATCATGTGATTTCCATACCAGCAGCTGAAATCATGTGATTTTCATACCAGCAGCTGAAATCATGTCATTCCCATACCCGCAGCTGAAATCATGTCATTCCCATACCAGCAGCTGAAATCATGTGATTCCCATACCAGCAGCTGAAATCATGTGATTCCCATACTATCAGCTGCAATCATGTGATTCCCATACCAGCAGCTGAAATCATGTGATTCCCATACCAGCAGCTGAAATCATGTGATTTCCATACCAGCAGCTGAAATCATGTGATTTTCATACCAGCAGCTGAAATCATGTCATTCCCATACCCGCAGCTGAAATCATGTCATTCCCATACCAGCAGCTGAAATCATGTGATTCCCATACCAGCAGCTGAAATCATGTGATTTCCATACCAGCAGCTGAAATCATGTGATTCCCATACCAGCAGCTGAAATCATGTGATTCCCATACCAGCAGCTGAAATCATGTGATTTCAATACCAGCAGCTGAAATCATGTGATTTCCATACCAGCAGCTGAAATCATGTGATTCCCATACCAGCAGCTGAAATCATGTGATTCCCATACCAGCAGCTGAAATCATGTGATTCCCATACCAGCAGCTGAAATCATGTGATTCCCATACCAGCAGCTGATTTCTATACCGGCAGCTGAAATCATGTGATTCCCATACCAGCAGCTGAAATCATGTGATTCCCATACCAGCAGCTGATTTCTATACCGGCAGCTGAAATCATGTGATTCCCATACCAGCAGCTGAAATCATGTGATTTCCATACCAGCAGCTGATTTCTATACCGACCGATAAAATCATGTGATTTCTCTACCAGACCCTAAGCAGAGTGTGGTAATGATGAGGATTAATGATGTAAACTGTAAGAGTTGGGGACTGTAGGAAATGGGAGGGTGAGGATCACTGGCTGCAGGTGTGACAACTACAGGTGAGAGGAAACAGTCAATTAAAGAAACGGCAGCAGGCAACACAAGATAGGCAGTAGGATGGGGGAGGGGGAGAAGTGAAGGGGGGAAGAAAGATAACTTTATTTATTTGCCTCAGATAAATTTTTTGTACTGATTTTTAAAATGTGGTTAATGGAGTTTCCTTTTTTAAACTTGTTTAGATGAAGCTGTTCCCTTTCATGAAACGGTTCACTTTTTAAAACTGCTGTTTTGATTAAACTGTGTGCTTGCTTTGTAGCTAGTTCTAAAAGCAGCCTACAACAGTAAAGTGAGCAAGTGCTTAACATCTGCCAGTCTCTAGTAAACAAGCCAGTAAGTGCTTTGTTAAGTAAGGAGGATTTAGTCAATACCAAGGCTAAAAATAACATTACCTTTACATCGTAGTAATGGATGCCATATGTTGGAAGTTTTTCTACTATGGTCATGTAACTGTGGAAGACAAAACAAAAAAAGGGGAGCTAATAAAAAAAAATAGTTGAAAAGAGCACTGCAATTTTAAAGGTCAACTTTCAGCAGAAACTATCTGCTTTGTCATTCTCTGTTTAGACAGGAGTTGTAAGTCTAAAAAGCTGTGGGCTTTTTTTTTTCAAATTGAAATTCTGTATTTTTCAAGCAGAGTTTTACAATCAATCCATTCTCCTACAGTACAGATAACAATATCAGGTACATTATTTTATATTAGCAGCCTGTCATACTGGGTAAACTGAGATGGACTTTCTGTGAGAGCTCAGCTTGACAAGATAAAGAGAGAGAACTGAAGAAAGAAAAACTTACTTTACAATGGCATGTCCCCTGGTGGTTCCGTTCAGCTTCTCATAGTAGGAGATAACTCTGTCTTCACTGTATGGAGTTAGACATATTACATTTCTATAGGTGGTACAGTCAGGGGTCTATTTTACAATCATGGGAATGTAGGGGTCTATTTTACAATCATGGGAATGTAGGGGTCTATTTTACAATCATGGGAATGTAGGGGTCTATTTTACAATCATGGGAATGTAGGGGTCTATTTTACAATCATGGGAATGTAGGGGTCTATTTTACAATCATGGGAATGTAGGGGTCTATTTTACAATCATGGGAATGTAGGGGTCTATTTTACAATCATGGGAATGTAGGGGTCTATTTTACAATCATGGGAATGTAGGGGTCATTTTTACAATCATGGGAATGTAGGGGTCCATTATTTTACAATTATAATTTCATATGAATATACTCGTCTACTATTTTAAAATCATATGAATATATGAGTCTACTGTTTTACAATCATATGAATGTTGGGGTCTATCATTTTACAATCATGGGAATGTTGGGGCCTACTATTTCACAATCATGGGAATGTTGGGACCTACCATTTTACAATCATATGATGGTATGATTTTTTTTTAAATAAGTCAAGTCAACATGAGTTCAACACATACCAATAGGCTATAGAAGGATGCTCTTTAAGTGAACTGGTTGGAATAACTGGCAGTTTTTTAAGTTCTTCTCTTGTTTCCTCTTCACTGAAACATGTAGAAGGTTAAAGGTCAGACTGCAGTAGGAGTGGGGTAGTGGGGTCAAACAGCCTGTCAAATAATGGCTTGGTAACAATCAGTCACACACACAGGCCTCAGCTTTGCATCTATTTATTTGGTTGGTTTTATTTTTGTGCAGAAGGATAAAGCATAAAGAAGAGCATTGATATTAAGAGTTAAACAAAGAGTCTAGTGTACAGCACAGGACAGCATGTAATTATGAGGTGTAGTTATGAATTCACAGCTCAGTTCTGAGTGTGGACATTCTAAAATTAATCAACCAATCAACAAAGCTGCTGTTTATAGTTGCATCTAGTGATGCTGTAGAGGCAGGGGTCAGAGCCACAGGCTAGGTGTGGAGAAAGGGCTGGCTTGTTCTATCCACACTTGACCAGCCTCTACACTACATTTATTTTAATTTGTTCTTTTTTTATTTTCTGATGGGTTAGTTTTAAATAGGCTTTAAATTCACTATAATCAGGTAACTGGCAAGACAAAATATCAACAAGACCAGACAGGAGGGAACAAAACATTCTCAATTTTTGATGAACTGATCAAAGTGGTTTTTACACATAAATTATGGATCACGGTGGATTCAGCTAAATCATCTCTGAATAGACTATTTGCTAAATACGTCAACTACCTAATCTCTGTGTAGTCTATGTTCTACAAATAGTCCCCTAGCTGATATCAAGAGACCATCTGAATGTCCCACTGTGTAGCAGAGACTTGAATACACCAGCTAAAGATATTTTGTTTAGCTGCCTAAGATGCTCCCTTAGATAGAGACAGGAGGAGCAATGGGATACAGAGATGATATCCTCTCCAGAGATGACACACACACAAACATACAGCATGAATAATGCAGGCCACAGGGAGATGCTCAAATCATCCATCATTTACCAGATATTTATCTGGGGCAGGGAATCTTATTTTACTTTATTTGGCCAAACATTTCTTGTAAAATAGCTTAGCTTGTTTATTTTATTAGTGTTAGAAAAAAATGTATTGTAAAACGAAAATTTTGTAGTTGATAAAAAAATACATTTTATGTTATTTTTATACAAAAACAATGTGAGAAAATCGTTTAAGAAGTTGATGCACTGTCATGAAAGTGCACCCCTTGAGTTTTTGTCTGTACTCGAAAAGCAGTTTATCAAAGTGAAAGTACCGGGGTCCTCATCAAGCTAAATAGAACAAAGGGAATTCCCTGAGCCACCAGCTGTTAGGTCCCAGACAAAAGTAAGGACTCATTAACTCAGAGTCTGAAAGCTAATCACACAATCTGCAATTCTTATTGGACTGTCTCAGGACCAGAATACGATTAGACAGTCTGGAGCTCTTACTAGCAGTTGTGTGGTTTTACTTGACTAGATGTTTGGACGTCTTCCTAGGGCAGAGCGATGTTTTAACGTCGTCTTACAGGCAGAGCGATGTTTTAACGTCTTACTGGGGCAGAGCGATGTTTTAACGTCGTCTTACAGGCAGAGCGATGTTTTAACATCGTCTTACAGGGGGCAGAGCGATGTTTTAACGTCTTACTGGGGGCAGAGCGATGTTTTAACGTCGTCTTACAGGCAGAGCGATGTTTTAACGTCGTCTTACAGGCAGAGCGATGTTTTAACGTCTTACTGGGGGCAGAGCGATGTTTTAACGTCGTCTTACAGGCAGAGCGATGTTTTAAAGTAATCTTACGGGCAGAGCGATGTTTTAAAGTAATCTTACGGGCAGAGCGATGTTTTAACGTCGTTTCACGGGCAGAGCGATGTTTTAACGCCGTCTTAGGGGCAGAGCGATGTTTTAACGTCGTCTTAAAGGCCGAGTGATGTTTTAACGTCTTACTGGGGCAGAGCGATGTTTTAACGTCATCTTGGGGGCAGAGCAATGTTTGAACATCTTACTGGGGCAGGGCAATGTTTTAACGTCATCTTGGGGGCAGAGCGATGTTTGAACATCTTACTGGGGCAGGGCAATGTTTTAACGTCATCTTGGGGGCAGAGCAATGTTTTAAAGTCATCTTGGGGGCAGAGCGATGTTTTAACGTCTTACTGGGGCAGAGCTATGTTTTAACGTCATCTTGGGGGCAGAGCGATGTTTTAACGTCTTACTGGGGCAGAGCGATGTTTTAACGTCTTACTGGGGCAGAGCTATGTTTTAACGTCATCTTGGGGGCAGAGCGATGTTTTAACGTCTTACTGGGGCAGAGCGCTGTTTTAACGTGATCTTGGGGGCAAAGCGGTGTTTTAACGTTTTTCTAAGGCAGAGCGATGTTTTAACGTCATCTTGGGGGCAGAGCGATGTTTTAACGTCTTACTGGGGCAGAGCGATGTTTTAACGAAATATCGTCGACAGCCAATATATGATGCCAAAGTTGGATTAAAATAATCTGGACAAGTGTGCGTGTGTGTGTATGTGTGTATGTGTGTGTGAGTGAGTGAGTGAGTGAGTGTGTGAGTGAGTGTGTGAGTGAGTGAGTGGGTGGGCTGAGGTAAAGATATTCAAACATGAGCCCAGGATTACAGCCGGCGACCAGACGAGGTGGGTAAACTGTGGTTAGCGAGTCAAGTGGATGAAAGAACACTTTGATCGAGTGCTCACATCCATTTTTTTTTCTATAACTGCTTCAGGGGTCTGCTTATAGAAACTGCTACAGATGAGACTGTGTTCGCGATGTGGACTGGACATCTACAGATTTGTGATGTGGGCAGGGCATCTAGAGATGGGTGATGTAGACGGGACATCTAGAGATGGGTGATGTGGACAAGACATCTAGACATGTGTGATGTAGACAGGGCATCTAGACATGTGTGATGTAGACAGGGCATCTAGACATGTGTGATGTAGACAGGGCATCTAGAGATGTGTGATGTAGACAGGACATCTAGAGATGGGTGATGTGGACAAGACATCTAGAGATGGGTGATGTGGACAGGACATCTAGACATGTGTGATGTAGACAGGGCATCTAGACATGTGTGATGTAGACAGGGCATCTAGACATGTGTGATGTGGACAGGGCATCTAGACATGTGTGATGTAGACAGGACATCTAGAGATGGGTGATGTGGACAAGACATCTAGACATGTGTGATGTGGACAGGGCATCTAGACATGTGTGATGTAGACAGGGCATCTAGACATGTGTGATGTGGACAGGGCATCTAGACATGTGTGATGTAGACAGGACATCTAGAGATGGGTGATGTGGACAAGACATCTAGACATGTGTGATGTGGACAGGGCATCTAGACATGTGTGATGTAGACAGGGCATCTAGACATGTGTGATGTGGACAGGGCATCTAGACATGTGTGATGTGGACAGGGCATCTAGACATGTGTGATGTGGACAGGAGGACGTCCGTCCTGGCTAGTTGGTCTGTGGATCCAATTGTTACAGCCCAGTGGTGACCAACGTAATCATGTTAACAAAGACGTCGCTAATGAAACAGATCGCGGGAAGCTTTGTATACGCGCGCTGTAGATAGTAGAGCTAAGTCAGTCAACTCTACATAATTAAATAGCACTGGTTATCACGGGATGATCAGTGTTGGATCCACTGTATGCCGGCAGTGTTGGATCCACTGTATGCCGGCAGTGTTGGATCCACTGTTTGCCGGCAGTGTTGGATCCACTGTATGCCGGCAGTGTGGGATCCACTGAATGCCGGCAGTGTTGGATCCACTGTTTGCCGGCAGTGTTGGATCCACTGTATGCCGGCAGTGTGGGATCCACTGAATGCCGGCAGTGTTGGGTCCACTGTATGCCGGCAGTGTTGGATCCACTGTTTGCCGGCAGTGTTGGATCCACTGTTTGCCGGCAGTGTTGGATCCACTGTTTGCCGGCAGTGTTGGATCCACTGTTTGCCGGCAGTGTTGGATCCACTGTTTGCCGGCAGTGTTGGATCCACTGTTTGCCGGCAGTGTTGGGTCCACTGTTTGCCGGCAGTGTTGGATCCACTGTTTAGTTTCCTATACGTAAAGGGTCTGGCTGCTAAGCGAGTCAATGATCAGTGTCTACCTGATGAGCTAATTATAGACTATTTGGAGCTGGTTATCGAGACGATCTCGGTAAATTTGTGCCGTGGAATGATTTGTACACGTTTTAATCTGGAGGCGAAACCCTCGACGTATAAAATATTCCACAACACAAGAAAGAAAGAAAAGAACAACATGCATACTTGTAGAGCCAGGCCGCTGTAGCTGAGCATTTTCTTCTTAGTTCTTAATTTTTGTGATGGAGGGATTACCTCCAACACAATTAAGTATAACGTGTGAACTTGTTATACGTCATAATTTACTTCCATAGGTCTGATTTGCTTTGCTTGAAGCAACAAGTTGGCTATGTAAGGATGCCTGAAGGCGGCCTAAATTATTCCAGGTGACAGGTTCATGGGTGGGTGAGGTGAGGCAAATAAAATCATTAGGAACAACTAAATGTGAGGTAAATCAAAGGAAGGTAAGTGCTAGACAACTAGCTTAACCACCAGACTAACATCTTGTGGATTACATTGCCTTGCCTGTTTACTTGATGTAATGGCACCATTATTTGGGACATGAGTAAGAATACTTTAGTCCTCTCTACAAACACAAAGTTACAAACAACCAAGACAGTACTCACCTGACAAAATCTCCGTTGGTCGCCTGCAAGACGTGAGCAGCTAACTCAAACACAGTTTCCGTGTCACACTCGATCTGTCCCTGAAACCAAAAACACGTCCATTAGAAGACTGCTCACCCTCAGCACATAACGTTCCATGTGACCTTCGTAGGTGCTCGCCTTTACCGCAGGCGTGCAGGCAACAGTTGTGTGTGTGCCCGCCTGATGAGAGCTTCTAACAGTCGGACTGACGCGCTGAGATAAGTCACTGAGATACCGTCGACCTTGTCAAGTACTCAAACATGTGGTTCGACTGCCGCAGTTTTACCTACACCTACGTCTATAGACGGGCTGTGTGCTTGTGCCTCTCACAAGCACGGCTGTTGTCTCAATCTTTTACTATACAAAACTTGTGTAAGCGTTCATCAACAAATCTTATATTGTATGGATTTATACAGCATCAAAACAACACAGCTGTAATTACCCGTATAATAACGTAGCATAGACGTAAGAATTTATATCACTACTCTCAGTTATCACTCTCATAGGTTAACTACACAAATGTCATTTTGAAGCCAACATAACACAAATGCCACCATAGGGCTGTCACTACACAAAGTCATCAAAGAGCTGACACAAATATTGTATGGAGCCGCCACTACAAAAATATCATACAAGTATCCCTACACAAATGTCACCATAGAGCTGTCACTACCCAACCACCCTCACCAGACCTGTGGCCACAAGACTGATGTGGGTGTATCAACCAGCTGGAGTAGACTCTGTCCCATCCACCTCAGTGCTGGCACCTGTTGCTATCTTTAACCCCTATTAGCCTTATCTCTCCATCTATGCTCCTACAGACTTCAATGCTGGTTGTGGTAAGGTTTGCCAACGGCTCGTACCGAATGCTACCAATCCAAATGATTTATAGCTACATTTTATTGGTATACAAGTACTGGCGTCCTATCCCGTCCCTTCCCTATAATCCCTGCCCCCCCCCCCTTCCCAATAATTCGTGGTGCTTTGCTTTATCTTTAAACTGAGTACATCACGTATGATGTAGACGGGAATTAAAAAATAAGATCATAGCAATCACTAAACTAACATGGCTTGAAAAAATAAATTCCCTAGAAATATTAATCCCCCCCCCCCAACCATCATACTTTATTCGGCAGGAAACGCCTACCGTTTTCTCTAGAGCCCAGTCAGACTCCTATATTTATGTGGAGCTTTGATTTTAGATTGCCCAGTTCTATTTTTGATCCCAAAATAGAGAGGCTACCTGCGCTTTATTTTTTAGTATGTGCGTGTGTGAGTGCGCGTGTGTGTGTTTTCAACGATGAAGGTCAACTCTGATAGAGAGCACAGTAAAACTAATTCTTTTCTTGTTTTCAGAAGCGCAACGGTGTATTTTTTCTGAACGAAAAGTATTGATTTAGACCACTTGAGTGCCATACGAATAATTGCGCATGTCTGCGTTAAGTTATAATTAACACTTAAACAATTGTACACTTGTTAAAGAAATACTTGTTTATGTTGAAAGACCTTTGTTGAGTCGAAGAAATGATCCTAAAATCAACCTTTTTTTAAATCTTTTATTTCTCTAAGGTTTTTTTATAACTCAAGTCGTTTGTGTGTATGTTTGTGTGTGCGTCTGTTTCGAACTAAGAATAAAATATTGCTGGCAAAAAAAAAGTTTATATTCTATAAAGTCTACGTGACTGTAGGACTATAAGCTGGTCACTTGACGAAACGGATACCCCTGCAGGCTGCTCTGTTCGTGTCAACACAATAGAATATCACGAGCTACAGGAAGGCCCTTGGAATAATAGTATTGGTCAAGGGAACGACACAGCTCTATTCAATGTGAAACAGGGCCGGTAACCCAATGAGATAATGCTTAGAATTCGTCCAGAGGATGATACCAACCGCCTCCGTCCCTCCCCCCGCCACTAAACTTATCGACTTGTGTTAGGATAAAAGACAGACTAATTTCGTCAAGGGCGGCAACTCTTAACCCGTCTGCTTTGAAAATCAAAGAGAGACAGAGAAGCAAACTGAAAGAGAAAAGATGGATAGATCCCGGACACTCCTCCAGCAGGCCCTTAAAAAAACCAAGGCACAAATTGTATGGATAGAGAAGACATACGGTTTAAGTGCAGCCTGCATTGGGGGGAGGGGGGGAATCTAAGCGATGTGAAGTGGATTTAACATTGCATTAGAGTGAGGGGGGGGGGGGGGCAAATGTAAGCGATGTGGCGGGGGTTTAACATTGCATTCGTTGATTAGGAAGGAGGCAAATCTAAGCAACGTGGAGAGGGTTTAACATTGCATTAGGGTGGGGGGGGCCTTTAAACGATGTGGAGGGGGTTTAACATTGCATTAGGAGGGGGCAAATATAAGCGATGTGGAGAGGGGGTTAACAGCATTAGGAGGGGGGGGGGGGGCAAATCTGAGGGATTTGGAGAGAGGGGGGGGGGGTTAACAGCATTAGGAGGACGCGAATCTAAGCGATCTGGAGGGAGTTTAGCGTAACACGCGCATGTAGTAACCTACTACATAACACGCATGTAGTGACCTACTACATAACACACGCATGTAGTGACCTACTACATAACACACGCATGTAGTGACCTACTACATAACACACGCATGTAGTGACCTACAACATAACACGTGCATGTAGTGACCTACTACATAACACACGCATGTAGTGACCTACTACATAACACGAGCATGTAGTGACCTACAACATAACACGCGCATGTAGTGACCTACTACATAACACACGCATGTAGTGACCTACTACATAACACACGCATGTAGTGACCTACTACATAACACACGCATGTAGTGACCTACTACATAACACACGCATGTAGTGACCTACTACATAACACGAGCATGTAGTGACCTACTACATAACACACGCATGTAGTGACCTACTACATAACACACGCATGTAGTGACCTACTACATAACACACGCATGTAGTGACCTACTACATAACACGAGCATGTAGTGACCTACTACATAACACACGCATGTAGTGACCTATTACATAACACGATCATGTAGTGACCTACTACAGAACACGAGCATGTAGTGACCTACTACATAACACGAGCATGTAGTGACCTACTACATAACACGCGCATGTAGTGACCTACTACATAACACGAGCATGTAGTGACCTACTACAGAACACGAGCATGTAGTGACCTACTACATAACACGAGCATGTAGTGACCTACTACATAACACGAGCATGTAGTGACCTACTACATAACACGAGCATGTAGTGACCTACTACATAACACGAGCATGTAGTGACCTACTACATAACACGAGCATGTAGTGACCTACTACATAACACGCGCATGTAGTGACCTACTACATAACACGAGCATGTAGTGACCTACTACATAACACGAGCATGTAGTGACCTACTACATAATACTACTTAGTACCTGTTACATAATGGCTCAAGAGAGTATGACAGCTAATAATACAACCCAGAGACTTGTATCAGAACAAAACACACAAGTGCACACACAATCTTCTAATGTTTATACATATTTCATCATTGTCGAGGTCGTTAAATGATCCCAGCAGTAAAAGAAAAAAGAAATCAATAAACCTCGCTGAGAATATGCTAGACAAGAACGTATCTATGGGAGGTGTCTTCCCCCTTTCCCCAATATCTACTGGGAGGTGTCCCACCTCCCTGAAGATATATAGAAATGTCCCGACCCCTGCCCCAAATATAAGGTTGTGCCATATTCCCACCCGCCCTATAACTATTAAGAGGGATCGTCGAACCTCACAATTCACGGGTATGATCCTCTTTAATATCCTTCCCTCTCACGTACAAGGAGATAAATCTGGTCTAATGAGTGAGCTAATATATTTTTTTAAATTAAAGATAACTAAAAGTAAGCCAAACCAGATTGAACAAACATTTAACAATAGTATTTGGGTAAAAAGACAGGTGTACGTTTATTAAACACGACACTGCTCGAAGTGCCAACTTTTGAATGTAACTACAGTAAAACCAAATGGTCATATGGAGGTAATCTACCAGCACATATAAACATCTGAACAAGCTTGGTCAGAAAATGTTACAGCAATATGCTTCACTCCTGTGTAATAGGCGGGTCTACACATCTAGCGTCATAGGACACTATCCGCGATTCTCTCCCTTGGTGCGGCTTCATTAGTTTAGTAACCACGGAATGCATGACCTCCCTTTGATAAAAGGGGCGTTAACGAGGGTGACAGAAAAACCAAACAGTGTGATAAACCACTGACTATAAATAGAAACCAGTAATTGTATTTCACATTTGAGATGGGGGGTGGGGGGGGGGGGGGGTAAGGGGGAATTAGTTGTCATGCCAACAACAATTCCCAGGCACCAGCCACGACCTGTTTGGGATATGCGTGAAGATGGCAGTTAAATGCCAATCATCTCTTGAACCCGCGCCAACAGGCTTGTATTTTACAAGGTTGATCGCACAGCTATCTCGGGGTAAACACCGCACGAGCAACGCTTGCTGACACTAAGATGCCCGGGGAGGGGGTGGTACCAGGGATGTGGGTGCAGGAGCTCATTGGTTCAATTAGAATTTTCCAAATATAAACATCTGATTATTGCTAAATGATTTACAAAACACAAATAGTTTTCAAGGGCAGACCTTTTTTACAGTGTTATTTATAGATTTAAATTTTTTTTAACAACCTATTTTGGCATACCCAGTCTAATTTTAGCGTCCCCCACTTATTTAGACAAGCCAGTTTTTACGTTATTTCCAGGCCAAAATCAGTATTGATTATTGACCGGCTTGATTGGCGCGGGGCTCACCAGTTCAGCAAGTACAGCTGGGACCAGACTTACCATAAAGCATTTTGTTAGTTCAGGGGCAGTAACTCCATACCCAAGGGACATTACTGGGAGCAACATACTGTATCAATTGAGAGTGGTCAGAGAGTGTATGGTTGGATAGGCACCAATTTAAGTAAGAGAGCTAGTGACTGCTGATAGTGATCTAAGATAAGGCACAACCTACTCTAAATAAAACTTTACCTTAAATAAAACAGCCTAGTGTTAAAACCAAAACTTCCCCTTAATAAAATTCTCTGGTATAAAACTCTACCTTAAATAAGCCCACTAAAACCAAACACTAAAAAAACCTGCCTGGTGTAAAACTCTACCTTAAATAAACTAGCCTAAATATAAAACAAAAACCTACCCTGAACAATGCCTGCCGGGTGTTGAGGTAAAACAACTCCACAGTTTGTGTGTCTCTCAGCAAGCCAATGGTATCCACATAAAACCTGAGGACAAATGGCACACTTATGTCAACACTTGATCAAAAATAATTTAATTACATTTAACCAACATCATAAACAATCTATAGTATTTCCTTCATTGCTGATGAACCCACCTGATAGAGAAGTGTAGCACAAGCAGGCCTGTTTTCTTGGGAAAATCATGCTCTAAAACTCTCTTCTCTCCCTGCAGCCAGTTGAAATGATTTCTAAGGAGGGAAACAATACTTTGGAATTTTTATCTAAAAATATTGCCTTTACAAAAAAGGATTTTCTTAATTTTAAAAGGTTGCATTATTGCAGGATAAATTAAATTTGAATATTTAAATTTTCTAATTAAAAAATTGCATTCTTAAGAAGCATTGAACTTACGTCTCATCGTAGAAGCCCAAACCAAAATAGTGTTTTTCTTTAAGTTTGAAATGAGATGCGACCAGATCCAGCAGGTCGTTGGAGTACAACTTGGGCTTTGGAAGAAGATAAAAATGCTAAATTATTAACAAAGTAGACAAGCAAGGCTAGTTAAATCAAGGACCATAACAAGCGAAATATCGAGTTTCGACAAATTGCCCGGAGTTATTTCCCTTTTTAACATGTGTTTATAATCAAAGCCTTACCTCTCAGCCTATTTTTTTTTATTCTAGAGCATCAACAAACTCATTAGTTATGAATTATGTTCTTTACGTAAGTTAATAAGCGAACATTTGGTGTTTATGTTAAAAAATACTAAGCACGCGTTAGCAGAACTGCTCCTAAAAATGCATTGCACTCACAATACAATCCCTAAATCATAATGTTAGCTATATTTCATTTAGGAAACGTTCGTACAACAATATCGTATGTAGATGTGCCAAAACGGAACTCCAACCTTTCTTTGAATCTTGGCACAACTTCCCTTACGTTAAAAAAAAAAACCAAATGATGCAATAAAAGAAACAGGTAATAGCTCACTCGAGTTGCCGAGGTAAAATGGAGGGGGGAAAAATTAGGTCACACGAGCAGGTAGTGAACGTGTGAAAGCTGGCTCGTGTTTACAAAAATATGGTGTGGACATTTTTTAAAACTGGTTTATTTACTTCTTTTTCCACCCAGCTGTAATGCTTTTATTTTGTTTTAAGTCCTATGAAGTTATGCCTTCAGCTGATGTAACCCTAACCCAACTGTAATGCTTTTATTTTGTTTTAAGTCCTATGAAGTTAGGCCTTCAGCTGATGTAACACTAACCCAACTGTAATGCTTTTATTTTGTTTTAAGTCCTATGAAGTTAGGCCTTCAGCTGATGTAACACTAACCCAACTGTAATGCTTTTATTTTGTTTTAAGTCCTATGAAGTTATGCCTTCAGCTGATGTAACCCTAACCCAACTGTAATGCTTTTATTTTGTTTTAAGTCCTATGAAGTTAGGCCTTCAGCTGATGTAACACTAACCCAACTGTAATGCTTTTATTTTGTTTTAAGTCCTATGAAGTTAGGCCTTCAGCTGATGTAACCCTAACCCAACTGTAATGCTTTTATTTTGTTTTAAGTCCTATGAAGTTAGGCCTTCAGCTGATGTAACCCTAACCCAACTGTAATGCTTTTATTTTGTTTTAAGTCCTATGAAGTTAGGCCTTCAGCTGATGTAACACTAACCCAACTGTATTGCTTTTATTTTGTTTTAAGTCCTATGAAGTTAGGCCTTCAGCTGATGTAACACTAACCCAACTGTAATGCTTTTATTTTGTTTTAAGTCCTATGAAGTTAGGCCTTCAGCTGATGTAACACTAACCCAACTGTAATGCTTTTATTTTGTTTTAAGTCCTATGAAGTTAGGCCTTCAGCTGATGTAACCCTAACCCAACTGTAATGCTTTTATTTTGTTTTAAGTCCTATGAAGTTAGGCCTTCAGCTGATGTAACACTAACCCAACTGTATTGCTTTTATTTTGTTTTAAGTCCTATGAAGTTAGGCCTTCAGCTGATGTAACACTAACCCAACTGTATTGCTTTTATTTTGTTTTAAGTCCTATGAAGTTAGGCCTTCAGCTGATGTAACCCTAACCCAACTGTAATGCTTTTATTTTGTTTCAAGTAAGGCCTTGAGCAGAGCTTATGAACAGTGCAGACAAAAAATAAGACCATCATACTACTGTACTTCTCCTTATGATCGGCAGATTCTGGAGAAGGTATTGAGTGATTCTTTCCGTAAAGAGAAAACGATTGTACATTTTGAACAGATAAAGTAGCATGGTAAACAAATGGCTAAGTAACAAATTATTTTTAAGTAAAACTATTAATTTTTTTTTTTAGTAAAACCCGTGTAAAGCAAACATTGATGCGATGAAACAAGTATACACTGCTCACAAGATTTTAAATCACATATTTGGTTGAGGATAAAATAATGATCCTGGACGTTGCTAACCAAACGTATCATATTCTACCATAGTTTCTATTCTAGTATAAGTTTCCACTACTTTCTAACGTTGGCTCACACGACCTGTTTATCTCGCTCCCCCCCCCCCCCCCCACCCCCCCAAATGATTTACTTTCTAACGTTAGCCTCACACGGCCTGCTCATCCCCCCCCCCCCCCCCCCCCATGTTTTTCTACCAATCTACTCCCTGCGCTGGCCTCCCTCCCCCTCCCCCTATTGTGGAGCTATGACAAGGTGATACACGAGAGAATGCCACAAGACAATGGCAACAAACAGAGCCAACAGACGGGAACAATCAAAGGTAAGACGATGGAACAGCGGCAGCTGCGAGTACTGGGAAAGACGAGCCCAAATTGTGTGTGGCACTCGCTACAGGCGATACGGCGTCTGAAGGGGTCAGGTTGTGGCCGTACACTAAATTCACGTCAACAATGGTTTTCTCAGACGTGTGTACCACGCGGAAATAGCAATACACCAAAGTGTGTCTGGGCGTGTGGATGTATATATGTTTGTATGTATGTATACATGTATGAATGCATGTATTGCCTATACAACTAAAAATACTTTTAATTTATACTTAAGTCTACAAATGTATTTATTATGTGTATATATATATATATATATATATATATATATATATATATATATATATATATATATATATATATATCAATACTTTTTGATATTCATACATACATATATGTGCGTAGGTGTGTTTGCTAGGGTGGGTGTGTAGGAGGTACAAAATAAGCATATGACAGGATGTAAATGTCTGAGCCCACTATTGGCCAAGTAAAAGCATGCTGGCTGTTTACCGGCGTCTTTTTTTGTTTGACATTTATTTCAAGGCACTGATAACCTTTGAAAGGATATACCAAGAGGGAATGTTTGAGATATCGCACGCGATTTCAGGAAATAATCTACCTCAGCTAGTTCATCCGCTTTCACAACTTTCGATTTGCTTTCTATTTCCAGTGTGTGAAGATACGTTCAATCAGACACTGAGAGCCATCAGATTTGATCATTGATCGTGGCCAACAGGGGCACAGATGCTTCTCTTACAAGAGATTACTTGTTATACCAAGACAACGGACATGGGACGAGGTAGAACGCTAGACAGCTGAGTCCGCTATGCTATAGGTACCTAACTCACGTTAGGGATAGTACTAACCCTTCATAAATGTCAACATTTCATTTCGCTTTAGTGTCTTACAGGCTGTCATGTTAGAAGAAATGTAAGCAGACAGGGAGGTACCAAAAGAAAATGTAAGCAGACAGGGAGGTACCAGAAGAAAATGTAAGCAGACAGGAAGGTACCAGAAGAAAATGTAAGCAGACATGAAGGTACCAGAAGAAAATGTAAGCAGACAGTGAGGTACCAGAAGAAAATGTAAGCAGACAGGAAGGTACCAGAAGAAATGTAAGCAGACAGGAAGGTACCAGAAGTAAATGTAAGCAGACAGGGGAGTACCTAAAGAAAATGTAAGCAGACAGGGAGGTACCAGAAGAAAATGTAAGCAGACATGAAGGTACCAGAAGAAATGTAAGCAGACAGTGAGGTATATGAAGAAAATGTAAGCATAAGTGAGGTACCAGAAGAAAATGTAAGCAGACAGGAAGGTACCTGAAGAAAATGTAAGCAGACAGAGAGGTACCGGGCCAAAGTTCGAGTAAACCAGGTGTGGAGCTACTTGACTTAGTGATATAAGAGCACGCCATTGTTAGCGCCAGTATTTACGTTGGGATATCGGAAAATTATGTTAGATTATGTCTTTATCCCCGATGAAATTATGTCCTTATCCCTAGATTAAATTATGCCTTTATAGCTAATTAAATTGTACTTCATACCCTGATCAAATTATGCTTTCCATCCCTTAAATACTTTAGATCAATTGAACAAATCATCTTTCTAATCCCCTCGATCAGAATTTACACACCAAGGAACATTTAGGTTTACATTCCAATAATTCCACGATACCAGATGTTCAAAAGGCAATAATGAAAGTGGATCATATGATCGAACACCATATACCCTGACTAAACTAACACCAGACATACAAATATAACCGACAATACCGAGTCTACTAATTATTTTGGGATCGCCACGAACAGAACTTGTGTTCAGACTTGTATGAACATCTATGATCTATGTGAATAAATATGTTACCCCCCCACAACTTTAAGGACATCAGGGTGTCTGTCTACTGAGAACTGGAAACCATCCAATATAAAAGCACCGCTCTGTTTCATGTGTTGTGGTGCCGGGGATTTTACAGTGAGTAGGCTATAACTATAGTAGATCTATCAGGTGTTGTCGTGGTGTTCAAGGCTAAAAGGGGGTACGGTGAGATGACCCCTTACACGTGTTGTGTTTGGGTAAGGTGAGATGACCCCTTACACGTGTTGTGTTTGGGTAAGGTAAGATGACCACATACACGTTTTTGGGTAAGGTAAGATGACCACATACACGTTTTTGGGTAAGGTGAGATGACCCCATACACGTGCTTTGTTTGGGTAAGGTAAGATGACCACATACACGTTTTTGGGTAAGGTAAGATGACCACATACACGTTTTTGGGTAAGGTGAGATGACCCCATACACGTGCTTTGTTTGGGTACGGTATGATGACCCCATACATGTTTGGGTAAGGTGAGATGACCCCATACACGTGTTTGGGTAAGGTGAGATGACCCCATACACATGTTTGGGTAAGGTGAGATGACCCCATACACGTATTTGGGTAACGTGAGATGACCTATACACGTGTTTGGGTAACGTGAGATGACCCCATACACGTTTCTGGGTAAGGTGAGATGACCCCATACACGTGCTTTGTTTGGGTACGGTATGATGACCCCATACATGTTTGGGTAAGCTGAGATGACCCCATACACGTATTTGGGTAACGTGAGATGACCCCATACACGTTTTTGGGTAAGGTGAGATGACCCCATACACGTATTTGGGTAAGGTGAGATGACCCCATACACGTTTTTGGGTAAGGTGAGATGACCCCATACACGTGTTTGGGTAAGGTGAGATGACCACATACACGTGTTTGGGTAAGGTGAGATGACCCCATACACGTGTTGTGTTTGGGTAAGGTGAGATGGCCCCATACACGTATTTGGGTAACGTGAGATGACCTATACACGTGTTTGGGTAACGTGAGATGACCCCATACACGTGCTTTGTTTGGGTACGGTATGATGACCCCATACATGTTTGGGTAAGCTGAGATGACCCCATACACGTGTTTGGGTAAGGTGAGATGACCCCATACACGTGTTTGGGTAAGGTGAGATGACCCCATACACGTGTTTGGGTAAGGTGAGATGACCCCATACACGTATTTGGGTAAGGTGAGATGACCCCATACACGTGTTTGGGTAAGGTGAGATGACCCCATACACGTGTTTGGGTAAGGTGAGATGACCCCATACACGTGTTTGGGTAAGGTGAGATGACCCCATACACGTGTTTGGGTAAGGTGAGATGACCCGATACACGTGTTTGGGTAGGGTGAGATGACCCCATACACGTGTTTGGGTAAGGTGAGATGACCCCATACACGTGTTTGGGTAAGGTGAGATGACCACATACACGTGTTGTGTTTGGGTAAGGTGAGATGACCCCCATACACGTGTTGTGTTTGGGTAAGCTGAGATGACCCCATACACGTGGTGTGTTTGGGTAAGGTGAGATGACCCCATACACGTGTTTGGGTAAGGTGAGATGACCCCATACACGTGTTTGGGTAAGGTGAGATGACCCCATACAAGTGTTTGGGTAAGGTGAGATGACCCCATACACGTGTTTGGGTAAGGTGAGATGACCCCATACACGTGTTTGGGTAAGGTGAGATGACCCCATACACGTGTTTGGGTAAGGTGAGATGACCCCATACACGTGTTTGGGTAAGGTGAGATGACCCCATACACGTGTTTGGGTAAGGTGAGATGACCCGATACACGTGTTTGGGTAGGGTGAGATGACCCCATACACGTGTTTGGGTAAGGTGAGATGACCCCATACACGTGTTTGGGTAAGGTGAGATGACCACATACACGTGTTGTGTTTGGGTAAGGTGAGATGACCCCCATACACGTGTTGTGTTTGGGTAAGCTGAGATGACCCCATACACGTGGTGTGTTTGGGTAAGGTGAGATGACCCCATACACGTGTTTGGGTAAGGTGAGATGACCCCATACACGTGTTTGGGTAAGGTGAGATGACCCCATACATGTTTGGGTAAGGTGAGATGACCCCATACACGTGTTTGGGTAAGGTGAGATGACCCCATACAAGTGTTTGGGTAAGGTGAGATGACCCCATACACGTGTTTGGGTAAGGTGAGATGACCACATACACGTGTTGTGTTTGGGTAAGGTGAGATGACCCCCATACACGTGTTGTGTTTGGGTAAGCTGAGATGACCCCATACACGTGGTGTGTTTGGGTAAGGTGAGATGACCTTGGTGTTGTATTTGTTATTATAGAGTGTGTGTGTGAATACATGTAGGTTCTCAAAGCTGGTTTTAACAGTAGGAAAATCATCGTTCCTTAAAAGGAACACGTTGAATATAAATAAAACAACGATGGGAAAAACAAGTAATACATTTGTTTCAAGAAATGTAGAAGAGGGGCAATGACGGTGAGAGTGTGACGCCATTTGATCAATACGGTTGAGTTAAAATACCTATGTAGATTGACAGATAGCTCTCCAGCCTGCCTTGCATCAGCTGCCTTAAATGGTTAATGCTACCTACACCTTGATCTACACCGCGATCTCTCGTTAAAAACCTGACTGACGCATTAGGAATGTTAATCTGTCAGCTTACATAGCTTTACATGGCTAAAGTAGTTGTTTTTTTTTTTTTTAAACTTGTGAGTGAAAGAATAATTGTGTTCATCAGTTTTAGACGTCAATACTTCATGTTAGGTGTATGACTAAATCAAACATAAACACAATACTTATATGTTGGTGTGTGCTACAATACTGTGACGTTACACGTGTTTGTTACCTGTATGATTATATCCAGACGACGTTCATCTAGCAAGACGATTTGTGTCTTTCTTCCTTCGTTCATCTAGAGAGAGAGAAGGAAAAAAAATGAAAGTTGTAGTTTAGTGTTTACATTGACAATATAGCTCCGTGCCCCTGATCAGCTGAAACATTGATAAAGATTATACATAAATAATTACTTTATTTTAAATTAAATGCACAAAAGGCTGCACAACAGTTACAGACATAATGTAGCATCAATATTGAGAGAATCGTAACACTTTATTTGATTTCATATGTGTATGCGCTTCCACACACACAACACACGCACACACACACACACACACACACACATATATATATATATATATATATATATATATATATATATATATATATATATATATATATAGGAAAACATCGGAGTAAAATATAACCAGTGGCTAACGTGAGTGGATTGTTGCCCTCCGTGAGTGGATTGTTGCCCTCCTACCCGTGGAAGTGTAACGACGATGCACGCTCGCCAAACGGTAGGTGCTAATGGAAGTTTGAAAAATGCAATACCTGACAACAATCGCTCAGACATTGTCGCAGGGACATTCTCCGTCGCCACATAATGAGCCGCCTGCTCATGTGTAGTGTTTATACACCGCACGTCTCCAACATCTTGGTTCGTTCTATCTAAATATCCAATGTCTATCAATTGTCGAATGTGGAAAAATAACTGAACACGATTTCACTATTTCCCGATGAATGATTTGTGTGTGATGTATGAAGAGATACACTTGGAGTCCATATGACGAGCACAAGGCATGGAACCAATATCCGTTGAGAGGCGTTCAGTCCCTCTACCTCAAGCCACGCGGCAGTAAGGCACTCACACACCAGACGTTTTTACCTGGCGGGTCACGTGATGTAAACTTAACAATCATGGCAGAACGAATCTTTCACCTTCTAATCAGGGTGCTAAATGGGTGCTGGGTGCTGGGGAGGGTGGGAACCTGCCAGTAGACAGGTGAGATGGTTCTCACTACTGGTGGGGGGGGGGGGTGAGATGTTTAAATACTAGATGTGGGGGGGTGAGACGTTTAAATACTATATCTAGTAGAGACGGCAGTCAGGTGACACAGTGGATCCGTCACTTTTTGGTGGGCTTGATCGATAATCAACATGTAGATCAAGCCAGAAACAGCTCACCAGTCTAATCAACATTTAGATCAAGTCAGAAACAGCTCAGCAGTCTAATCAACATTTAGATCAAGTCAAGCCAGCAACAGCTCACCAGTCTAATCAACATTAAGATCAAGTCAGAAACAGCTCACCAGTCTAATCAACATTTAGATCAAGTCAGAAACAGCTCACCAGTCTAATCAACATTTAGATCAAGGCAGCAACAGCTCACCAGTCTAATCAACATTTAGATCAAGTCAAACAGCTCAGCAGTCTAATCAACATTTAGATCAAGTCAAGTCAGAAACAGCTCACCAGTCTAATCAACATTTAGATCAAGTCAAGTCAGAAACAGCTCACCAGTCTAATCAACATTTAGATCAAGTCAAGTCAGAAACAGCTCACCAGTCTAATCAGCACATCAAAAGCCTTCAGGGCGAAACAGAGGCTAGGCGTTAGAACAATAGGAAGATGGCAATCAGTGGCCGTGGAGTTTTTAAGTAGCGTCTTCTTGTTTTGTTTTTTTACAGCTGGACTTGGGCATCACGTTCACAAGACGGGGAGGGGGAGGGGGGGGGGGGGGGGTTGTACTGAGGGAGAATAGCAGTAGCAAAGATGGCAACAAGGCCAGATGAAAACATTTTCTACTTCAACAAAACCGTCTTACAAATCCCACCCAATGTTCTCAATCCATATAGCAAAAACCGTCTTACAAATCCCACCCAATGTTCTCAATCCATATAGCAAAAACCGTCTTACAAATCCCACCCAATGTTCTCAATCCATATAGCAAAAACCGTCTTACAAATCCCACCCAATGTTCTCAATCCATATAGCAAAAACCGTCTTCCAAATCCCACCCAATGTTCTCAATCCATATAGCAAAAACCGTCTTACAAATCCCACCCACTGTTCTCAATCCATACAGCAAAAACCGTCTTACAAATCCCACCCACTGTTCTCAATCCATACAGCAAAAACCGTCTACCAAATCCCACCCACTGTTCTCAATCCATATAGCAAAAACCGTATTACAAATCCCACCCAATGTTCTCAATCCATATAGCAAAAACCGTCTTACAAATCCCACCCACTGTTCTCAATCCATATAGCAAAATTCGTCTTACAAATCCCATCGAATGTTCTCAATCCTTAATATAGCAAAAACCGTCAAACAAATCCCACCCAATGTTCTTTAGATACCTCTGTTAGGCTTACAACAAGATGATGCCAATCTTTGGCATGGAATTAATTAAGATCCTACAGGTAAAACAAGTCTCTGAGAACGAGGTCACGATATGTTGGGTGTAGAGGGGAGGTAGACACATACGCCGGGTGTGTGGAGGAGCTAAGTCGTGAGAGGAAATCCCCGAGTACTAAGGTCAAGTTGCACACAGCTTGTAGTGTTGGTGTTTGTGTTGTTACCAGCCTAGGTTAGCTTGACAGAAGTTCACGTGTCTGGATTGAACTACTCACTACTGCACGTTCCTTGCTCCATCAAGCTGTCTGACGTAAATAGGGCCAGGTTTATTTTCTTTCTGGGTTTTCTTCACCCCCCCCCCAACCTTACACCATCAACTTTCTCTGGCTTTATCTACGCCCCCCCCCCCAACCTTACACCATCAACTTTCTCTGGCTTTATCTACGCCCCCTCCCAACCTTACACCATCAACTTTCTCTGGCTTTATCTACGCCCCCCCCCCAACCTTACACCATCAACTTTCTCTGGCTTTATCTACGCCCCCCCCCCCCAACCTTACACCATCAACTTTCTCTGGCTTTATCTACGCCCCCCCCCCCCACCTTACACCATCACCTTTCTCTGGCTTTATCTACGCCCCACCCCCCAACCTTACACCATCAACTTTCTCTGGCTTTATCTACGCCCCCCCCCCCCCACCTTACACCATCAACTTTCTCTGGCTTTATCTACGCCCCCCCCCCCAACCTTACACCATCAACTTTCTCTGGCTTTATCTACGCCCCCCCCCCCCAACCTTACACCATCAACTTTCTCTGGCTTTATCTACGCCCCCCCCCCAACCTTACACCATCAACTTTCTCTGCTTTATCTACGCCCCCCCCCCCCAACCTTACACCATCAACTTTCTCTGGCTTTATCTACGCCCCCCCCCCCAACCTTACACCATCAACTTTCTCTGGCTTTATCTACGCCCCCCCCCCCAACCTTACACCATCAACTTTCTCTGGCTTTATCTACGCCCCCCCCCCAACCTTACACCATCAACTTTCTCTGGCTTTATCTACGCCCCCCCCCCAACCTTACACCATCAACTTTCTCTGGCTTTATCTACGCCCCCCCCCTCAACCTTTCACCATCAACTTTCTCTGGCTTTATCTACGCCCCCCCCCCCAACCTTACACCATCAACTTTCTCTGGCTTTATCTACGCCCCCCCCCCCCAACCTTACACCATCAACTTTCTCTGGCTTTATCTACGCCCCCCCCCCCCCCAACCTTACACCATCAACTTTCTCTGGCTTTATCTACGCCCCCCCCCCAACCTTACACCATCAACTTTCTCTGGCTTTATCTACGCCCCCCCCCCCAACCTTACACCATCAACTTTCTCTGGCTTTATCTACGCCCCCCCCCCCAACCTTACACCATCAACTTTCTCTGGCTTTATCTACGCCCCCCCCCCCCCCCAACCTTACACCATCAACTTTCTCTGGCTTTATCTACGCCCCCCCCCCCCAACCTTACACCATCAACTTTCTCTGGCTTTATCTACGCCCCCCCCCCCCCAACCTTACACCATCAACTTTCTCTGGCGTTATCTACGCCCCCCCCCCCCAACCTTACACCATCAACTTTCTCTGGCTTTATCTACGCCCCCCCCCAACCTTACACCATCAACTTTCTCTGGCTTTATCTACGCCCCCCCCCAACCTTACACCATCAACTTTCTCTGGCTTTATCTACGCCCCCCCCCCCAACCTTACACCATCAACTTTCTCTGGCTTTATCTACGCCCCCCCCCCAACCTTACACCATCAACTTTCTCTGGCTTTATCTACGCCCCCCCCCCCAACCTTACACCATCAACTTTCTCTGGCTTTATCTACGCCCCCCCCCCAACCTTACACCATCAACTTTCTCTGGCTTTATCTACGCCCCCCCCCCAACCTTACACCATCAACTTTCTCTGGCTTTATCTACGCCCCCCCCCCCCAACCTTACACCATCAACATTCTCTGGCTTTATCTACGCCCCCCCCCCCAACCTTACACCATCAACTTTCTCTGGCTTTATCTACGCCCCCCCCCCAACCTTACACCATCACCTTTCTCTGGCTTTATCTACGCCCCCCCCCCACCTTCTACACCATCACCTTTCTCTGGCTTTATCTACGCCCCCCCCCCACCTTACACCATCACCTTTCTCTGGCTTTATCTACGCCCCCCCCCACCTTACACCATCAACTTTCTCTGGCTTTATCTACGCCCCCCCCCACCTTACACCATCAACTTTCTCTGGCTTTATCTACGCCCCCCCCCCACCTTACACCATCAACTTTCTCTGGCTTTATCTACGCCCCCCCCCCCAACCTTACACCATCACCTTTCTCTGGCTTTATCTACGCCCTCCCCCCAACCTTACACCAGCAACTTTCTCTGGCTTTATCTACGCCCCCCCCCCAACCTTACACCATCACCTTTCTCTGGCTTTATCTACGCCCCCCCCCCAACCTTACACCATCAACTTTCTCTGGCTTTATCTACGCCCCCCCCCCAACCTTACACCATCAACTTTCTCTGGCTTTATCTACGCCCCCCCCAACCTTACACCATCAACTTTCTCTGGCTTTATCTACGCCCCCCCCCCCCAACCTTACACCATCAACTTTCTCTGGCTTTATCTACGCCCCCCCCCCCACCTTACACCATCAAC